TACTCATTTTCAATTTGTAAATGCTTAAGTTTCCTTCTAAATTTTTCAGAAAACATTTATTTATTAGTTCAAAAACATAAAAGTAAAAAAAATTCCTCATTCCATTTTGCGCTCACAAATCATTACGCGAATATGCATACAACTTTTAAAGCCTCAAAAACACATGTCTGCTATGTTATCGTCATGCCATTATTTGTAGGTACTTTACTTTTTACCGCGATGTTTTTAAATTGCGAAGTTTGTGAATGGTTTTATTTTCGACGACGGTGTTTTGCATCAAGATGTCTTCTTGCTTTCTTTTCTCTGCAACGTTTTCGTCCGCTATGTTTTTGCCGCAATATTTTCCCCTGTAGCACTAAAGATATGGTGTTTTTAAATATTTTATGACTTTGCTGTTGAATGGAATTTTCTGTGACGTAAGTGCGAAGAACACGATATTTAACAAATGAAGTTAACACACAAAACCTTAACAAAAGACAGGAAAAAAAAAGAAAAAAAAAAAAAAAAAAAGAAATACAAGCATTTCTGGATCTCTAAGATGCAAATTTTAAATGTTAAATAAATTAACATTAGCATAAGTTAATACTGTCAACATAACATAAGTTAATAATGTCAGTCATAACATAAGTTAATAATGCCAGTATTTGCTCAAACAAGCGAATGCTGACATTTCATCTTCGATGGATATAAAACACTGAAATATTTTATATAAGCATCTTTAAAATTTAGTAAATTAATAAAACTCCATAGAAGCGCATATTCTTGGTATCATGGGATTAGAGGATTTATGCGGGAAGGCGTAATAATAGAAAACTTTACATCACCAAAGAGTAAGTGTGAGTCTTTAGGTTTTTTTGAAGCAGGAGAGGTGAAAAATGAGCAATGCCCTAGCTGGGACTCGAACCTGGACCTTTCGAACTCGCGCCGAGTGTGCTACCGTTACACAACGAACACATGCTGGAAGGAGGGAGGGACTACCCTATAATCTTGCTCGATTTATTTCGGAATTTGAAAATCAGATTTCTTAAAGGAAAAACTATTTTTGCGTAGCCTTCTTATCCGGATTTTAATTTTGTTATGAAAATATTATTTTTATTTAAAAAATAAATGAGCAAAATAAAAGTAAGTTACAAAATTATTAATTTGCTGTATTTTTAACATTTAATGGGCATTAAAACTGATAGTTACGCTCTTTGCTTTTACTTATTTTTCGAAGTAAAGGAAATATTGGAAATGGAAGTAAAGCATTTGGGGAATCATATTTCAACGAAATATCCATTTTGACCATTTCAGAATCCATGTGGATGATTTTTTTTTTTTTTTTTTCGTGTCCTCTGTATGTACGAACAAAATAAAGGATTCTTTGGTACTATTCGGTTTCGAGGGCCGTAAAAAAAATGCAGCGAAAATGTACGCGCAAAAGCGCCAAATCTAGCGTACGCGCTGATTTCAGATTGCGTAAGTTTATATAGTTATATATTTCTTAAGACGCCATTGAAATACTAGTTTAATTTTTAAATCCTTTTTTGATTTTAAATCCTTTTTTGATTTTAAATCCTTTTTTGATATCCTATGGATTAACAATTTGGGAATTGTCCATGACGAAAACTCGGCAATAGAATTTTGGGTAAAGTGCAGAATCACCCACTGCTTGACGCGTTTTTAAGAATTGCACATACTCGGTATTCATGTGCACATCGACCCATTTTCACTTAAAAAAAAAATCCTAGAATTGCACAAAAAATGGCACTGCGCACACCCTTGACTTTATCTATGTACACATCGACTTATTTTTTTCACTTAAAAAGTAAAAGGAAATTGAAAAAAATCCAGTTATTTTTACCCTTGTAAATGTGGTGTATTTAATTACGGCAAAACACACTAGGGCTATCTGCCAAAGGGGAGGGATGCCTTTCGTGGAGGACTTTCTAAGGGAAACTGGCTCGTATACACGTTACACATGGGAAAAACCACGAAAACACCCATGCAGCCAGCCCGTTCGCGGGATTCGAACCTCGGACCGAACTACCATTGTTCAGCGACTTTACCGCTCGGCCGCTGGTGGGCTTTACCCTTGTAAAAAGCGACAAACAAATAAGTGAGCGATTTACCGAGAATATTTTTAAAGAAAAGGCATCGTTCATTATGGAAAATTACGCTCGAACAACCAACGAGATGAAATTATGCTTTAGCGATAAGTCGGTAGCGAAATAGCGATGCAGGCAACCATTCAGTTATGTTTAGTAATTTTTATATAAATTATAATAATGATCTGAAATAGTTATTGACTCTTATGCTTCCATTCAGTTTTAGCCTTTTTCATATAAATTATAATAATAAAAAGTATTATATGAAATTAACCTTTCATCTAAATTAAAACATCAATCTTAAATAGTTATTTACTATTATACTTCCTTTCTTGCCGCAATTATTAGGATTGTTGCAATTATTTTTGGCAGCATTGGCATCAACAATAGTTTGGCGACTTTTTACGGCCCTCGAAACCGAATAGTACCGATTTTTTTTACAAAAACGAATTGTTAAATGGATTAAAAAGGGATTCTTCTCCGTGACGTATGTATTTATCACGCAAAACTTTAAAACCATTAGTCGCAGAAAATTGAAATTTTATACGTTGGAATGCTATAGCATCTAGTTGTGCACCTCCCTTTTTTTATTCCAGTCGACACTACCAAATGTACATATAACCTACATCTTAGCTTAAAAGTCCTTATCCGGCCTTTATTTTCTCAATCGTTGGTCTTAGACATATACTTCCAATTACAGAAGTAATGTAATATGCGAGTATGCTGCAACCCTCCTGGCCGATAATAATCGGTCTCATGGTTAATGCAGCACACCCAACACAGATTAAAACAAAATGCAGTAAAAAACATCAAATGAAAATTCCCACAGTTGTTATTTTGCCATTTAAAAAGTTCATACTTACAAATCTAAACTCGTTCTCTTTCTCCCAATTACAGAAGTCTTTGAAATGACGAAATTACTCATTTTTCGGATATTTCAAATAAGAAAAATTATTTTCAACAGATACCAAAATGTAACTTTTAATCTTTTAATTGACTGGCATATTTAATTTCAAAATTTTCAATTTTTGATGCCAATTTCAACTTGCCTTGAGGAATCTGTTAATTAATTTAGAATAATTCAAGGAAGTATGTTGAAATGAAATGCAGCAAAAAATTTGTATAATTTAATGGGCCATACAAGGAAGTGACGTGGTGTCCATATCAGAAATTTTATATTATTTTTAATGTTATTTTTTATATTTCCTAGAAACTTAATTCTTATCTTTCTGTTTCTTTCCAAAAGGCTGGAAATCATCCAAAGGAATCAAAATAGTCAGGAATACAGCAATTAATTAACTATACATATATTTGACCAAAACTACAAAATTAAACCGAAAAATAATTTTTTTAAAATATTTTGTATTTCAAGTATCCTTAATTAAAGCAATGTTAAATGAAAACTGTCGTATAATATAGAACATGTTTTTAAAATCGAAGAGTAATCCTATGAACTATCAAGCTCTGTCAATGATTTGAAGAATATAAGTATACCTGCGAACACCAATTTTAACGTTTGGTTTGGTTTGGTTTATTTAATTATGGCAAAGCACACTGCCTAAGGGGAGGGATGCTTTCGTGGAGGACTTTCTAAGGGGAACTGACTCGTATACACGTTACACATGGGGAAAACCACGAAAACGCCCATGTAGCCAGCCCGTTCGCGGAATTCGAACCTCCGACCGAACTACCAGTGTTCAGCGACTTTACCGCTCGGCCGCTGGTGGGCCCAGTTTTCACTTTTAAGTACACTGCGAAAAAAAAAGAGACAGTTCTATATCTCCCGTTCTACTGGGCCGATAGGCCAAATTCAAATTGCTCGAAAGCGAGACTTAAGATGTATATTAGATTTATATATAACATTGCTCTCCACAGATAATTTGTCACAAAATGGGACTTTTTCTGAAATAACATACCAGTTTTGTTCCATATTTAGATTCTACGACTCAAATTATGCCTAAATATTAAATTTTGTAAAATTTGGTGCGAAATTTAAAACTTTAACTTGTCGCAATTTTTTCAGTTTGCGCCAAGAATAATTCACTAGGTGAACTTCTTAATATATGGCTTCCATACTGCAAGAGAGGAAAAAAAGTCACAGCGTTCCTAGCTTTTTACATTGTACATGAGCGGGAAAAAAAAAAAAAAAAAAAAAAAAAAAAAAAAAAAAAAAAAGCAATGTTTGTACTTTAAAAAAAATTGATGTTATTATCGCTTTCAACAAATATGCCAAAATTCAAAACGATCCAATATATAAATTCACGCATATCTTGGGAAATTTTGAATAAAAAAACCGTAATTTTTTATAATTATGCTTTGAAATACATCAAGTTTAATACGATGGTAAAACATTTTACAGATTGTATTTCAAAAATTTTTTCGAAATATTTATAAAATTTATTTAAAAACACAGATTTTAAAAATAAATAGTAAAAAATGGGCGAATTTTATTTGGAATGAACCTAAATTTCCAAATATCAAAGGTAGAATCAAATAAGTTTAATAAAAAGAGATATTAATAAATATATATCAAATCCAATTAACATTGAGGAGCTAAAATTTTGAGAACTAGTTTTTTAAAAATTACCTGTGCGATTTTTACAAAACTTGGAAATTCATCATAATTTGAATCCTAGAATCCAAATATGGGAAAAAATTGGCATGTCATGTCAGAAAACGTCCGATTTTGTGTCAAAATACCTATATTAGAACAATGCTATATATAAATCTAATACATATCCTAAGTCGCGCTTTCGAGACATGAAAAACGCAAGTTGAATTTCGTCAATCGGCCCAGTAGAACGGGAGATATAGAACTGTGCCATTTTTTTCGCAGTGTACATATTTGTTATAAAGTACAACCAATGTACTTCATTTTTCCAAGAAACTTTAATTTATGTCTCATTTCTCTAGGCCTCGAATCGTGGTGCAAGACGGAAACCTCATTCTTCAGAGTGCTTTCAACCGGAATGTCAGCATTGCAACAAGTGGTCAAGGAAACATCGTTGTCAACAATGTCGATTTAGGAAGAACCATTGGGAGGGTGAGTACGGCGCATCAGGTCAACTGATAAGGAAATTGTGTCTAAAATGCTGCACTAAATAAAAGATATGACTTTCTTTGATTAATCGTAAACTCACAAGGGAAAAAAAAATGTAAAAATTAACATTCTGGTACTAAAAGTGAGTTAGATATGAAATTTGACCATCTTTGGTAGCAAAATTCAGCATCAAATTCCTAACAGACTTAAAGCAAATTATCGCTTTGTCTTAAGAATATTGAAAAGGTTTAAAAGCAACCTTTTTACTAAACCAGAACTTGACCATAAAATGCACGTACTTCCAAATCAACGCGATGTAACTTAAAGTAACAATCAAATTCAAATTTAAACTAAGCCTGGTAGTCAAAGAGTACACAAATGATTCAGAAGTCAAACAACAAAAATCAGCGTTATACTTTCAAAATTTTCGCAGGACTAGTTTCAATGGATTTTACCGAACCATCATCCTCAGCTGCAAAACCGCAAATGAACGAGATAGGAAATAATGACTAGATAAGATAAGAAAGCCTGGACAGGAATAAGCAAGTGGCGCCATCTGTTGATAAAACCAGAACTAAAACGTGATTTCTTTAAAGGCCGAAGGCAACGACGGATTGGAATTAGGATCATCAACTAGAACAGAAAGATTTTTGATACACAAATGACTTAACACAAAGTTGGCTGAAAACTTCTGACCGGTTTAACAGTTTAAACATCGGAAGGAATAACGTAAAGCCGAAGTGTTGTAATCTTATCAGAGCTAGCGAAACGTGGCCCTACTAGCGTGGCCTTGACAGCCAAAGATACTTTCTGTCTCAGAATCCAAAACCTCCAATTTGAGTATTCTCAAAGTGAATTTGTATTCTGGTGAGAAAACGGAAAGGAGAAATGATAATGGAGCTGAAATTATAAATAACAGGCTAATTAAAATAATAATAACCCTACAAACATTTGATTAACAAAACACATTGATTCGCTTTAATTTTACTTTGCAACTTCTTAGTTTAAGTTGGCAGCAGAGGGTCTTGAGCTTAGTTGTAAGTGTGTCACAGGACAGTTTTTTTCTAATGCTAACATTAGTTTTTAGAAATAATTCCTTTATAGAAGCAACTAGTGTTACTTAAGATCATTTTGTTTATGATTATAACTTAAAACTTTGATAGTTAAGCTATATTTTGAAGCATTCTGTCCTAACCGTACTTTCCGAAGAATTATTTGTCATTGTCGGCAAATTATCATTCCTTTCGCAGTCAACAATTGTAGCGATAATTATCAAAAATTGAGTTTTACAATCAGAGATGTAAGAGTCAACGAAACTTTAGTTTTATTCAAAATATATTGCAATTAAAAAAATATTTGATGTGGACATCACAAGACTTCCTTGTATGGCATATTAAATTACACACATTTTTGTTGCATTTCATTTAAACTTATTACCTCGAAATTCATTGGAGATATATATCTAATTCAATCGATTCAGTTCTCATTTCGGGGCAAGGCAAAAACACATAAACCTCGAAACATCTTCATTAAAATTGTAAAATACAGAAAAACATAAAAAATCAAATACAGTTTATAAAACAATTTTTAGAATTTAAATTATAGTTTGTACGTCAGAACAAGCAATTCTGCCAATGGGAAGTAAGACAATATTTTCGGTTCCCAAAAATTGAAAGTTAACCTTTTGGCTCCACTGGGCAGTTGGTGCATCAACTGGTTTAATTAACTATACTACTAAGAGTTTCAAATGTAAGCAAATAGCTGCCCCGTGAGGCCTAATGCGACTTTTAATTTATTGATAATTCTACAACTATCTCATACAGATTAACTAAAGGCATAACACTTTAACAGAAACATAAAAACAGCATAATTCGCTCAATTTTTAAGACCGAAAACGCATAGAACATTCAAGATTTTAGTTAGTAGGGGAAGCAAAAATAGCATGAAAGTCCATGTTACTTAAGTCCGTGACTGTAGTTATGATATGTGAATCTAGTAAATATGATACATAAGTGTCCATGATACATAGGTTGATGATATATCATCATACATAAATGGTAACCATGAGTGCCGCATAGCCCTATATCAGTGGTGGCGAACCGTTTTGGGGCCGAGTGCCCAAAATGGGATGACCGCCTGCCATTTCGTTTAAGATATTAAATTAGAATTATGAATATATTACCTCAAAATGCTTAGATCTGAAAACTGGAATCTATTTAAGAATGAAAGTATTAAAACTCACCGGTAGTCTGCAACAAATTTGAATTCGTTTAGCAAGCATTAGATGTTAATTCAGAAGTCAAACAACAAAAATCAGCGTTATATTTTCAAAATTTCACAGAACTGGTTTCGATGGTTTAACCGAACCATCATCCTCAAGTGCAAAAACGTTTCGGTTAAACCATCGAAACCAGTTCTGTGAAATTTTGAAAATATAACACTGATTTTTGTTGTTTGACTTCTGAATTAATATTTGTTCGGCGCGTTATTGTATCTTTAAGCATTAGATGCTTCAGCTTTGGCGTATTCTTTGCCTTGTAACAAGTAATATTGTATTTTTAAGCATTAGATGCTTCAGCTTTGGCGTATTCTATGCCTTGTAACAAGTAATATTGTATCTTTAAGCATTAGATGTTTCAGCTTTGGCGTATTCTTTGCCTTGTAACAAGTAATATTGTTGCGTGCGTACGGGTTCGTAATAAACTGAATGCACAAGTCCGATGAAAAGTGAATAAAATTTATTCTTATCCCAAGAATAAATACAAAATGCTTAAATTTCCTTAGAGGTATTCGTACAATATGGCAATATGACACATTAGTTATCTTTTAAAATAAAAACATGCAACAGACTTAATTCAGAACAGAGAAAGCTAATCCGATTTCACCGCAAATTCGCTAGAGTCAACAACAGCAGTAAGTAAACAACTGAATTGAGATGTTTTCCTCCAGCTTTTATAAGCTTTTTAAATCCCGCACGAGAATCTTCTCGTATTTTCTCGACTCTTCCGGAAGCGAAAGAGTACAATTACGAGATATGTATTATTAAAATGTTAAATTAAATTAGCATACTCCTGTATTTTTAATTTTTCTGCCTAGCTTTCTCTTCAGAAAAGTCTCGTGCTGCATTGCAAGAGGATACAAAACAATTTTAATTACAATTCTATTAAAAATAAGCTAAATAAATACAAAAACCCTAACAATATGATTGGCCTAAACAACCGAAACGTCATAATTGGGCCAATAAATGTGTATATCATTTCTATGGCGATATATGAAAATTTTATATCTAGGCTTAGTGGCATAGTGCTTAAGACTAGATTTAAGCCTAAGCCTAGATACAGCTATAGTCTTATAAGGTCCTAAGACTAGATATAGATATAGCCCTATGCCAGTGGCATTATGCGGTAAGTAAGTAAGTAAAACGTTCAAGAAGAGACTAGAACAATTATTTAAATTGCATAGTGTTATTTTATTGTGTTTTATTGATTAAGGAAGTAACATTTTAGTCGCGTACCAGCTGATGAGGCTCTGCGTGCCGACTATGGCGCGCGTGCCGTAGGTTCGCCATCATTGCCCTATATCATGTCATGATATATTTGAAAGCTCTACCCAAGGTTGTCCACTATATTGCTTTTTACATTATATTGTCATTGTATTGCGTCTGTTAACACAAGCAAACCGTATCGCACAATAGTTGATAATTGTGAGATACTGTTGTTGCACTATACCGCATAATAACTGATATCATGCAATAGATAGGTTCATAGTTGTTGGAAGGTTCCAAATGCAGATACCACGAAACGGTAGCAGTTGGTATTTCAAATGCTTCCACACATGCTTGGTAAAAGATACATCCGAAGGAAAGGCAATCCACGGAAACGTCTGGACATTACATAGGTAGTCTCAGACAAGCTAACACATGGATCTCTAGACATTATCTTGTGGAATATCGCATGTGCATTTCCGGTGCGAATGGGAGCACGTGAAACCGCAGGATCTGATTCACATACTCTGCTGAATCGTCAAAGCTTCATGTAGGACCGCTTTGCCGATAATTAGCGAGGTTGGGGTTGCATATTGATCACGGAACCACCATATCTGAACACTATAATTATCGTTTTCCAAAACGAAGAGGTAGTCATCACTACGAATTGCACATCTCCAATACGTAGTGTTCCAGGTGGTCTCCAAATACATGGTGTCACCTTAAACGGGGATCTTTACTAGTTTTAAGGCAACACACATAATGGGATCGGAACTAGCCACTTATTTACTAGTGTTAAAGCAGCACACATAATGAGGCAGGACAGTGATGGCGAACCTATGGCACACATGCCATAGTCGGCACATAGAGCCTCATCAGCCGGCACGCGAGTAAAATATTTCTTCCTTAATCAATAATCACAATAAAATGATAGTATTTAATTTAAATAATGTTTTAGTCTGTTCTTGAACTTCTCACTTACTTATTTATCGCATATGCTACTGGAATAGGGCCTAAGCCTAGATATAAGATTTTTATAGATCGTCATAGAAAAGATATATATATATTTATTGACTTAATTTATGACCTTTCAGTTGTTTGGGCCAATCATATTTCTTGTTACATGGCAAAAAATACGCCAAAGCAGCTAATGTTTGATAAACGAATTCAAATTTATTGAAAACTGTCGGTGAGTTTTAATACTTTTATTGTTTAATAGGTTTTCTGTACTTCAGGTCTTGAACCCTCACAAATGACACTAAAAACAAGTAAAATTAAACATTGATAGTGGACGATCATTTCAAGAGACCTGGACAGAATCATACTGAGTTGTTGAACACAATAGGAAAGCATTATGCATTCAGTGCGGGAAAAGTGTTGTGTCGCACATCTGGTGTCAGACTGCGTTTTAACATCAACCACAAGATTGTTGCCGAATTTGATGAAGCTGAGCAGAAGGTTGTTCATTGAAGGAAAACTGAGGAATTATAATTGCCAAAATGTTGGTTTTTGAAATTATCTTTCTAAAACAAACCATATAACAACGGCTAGCTTTTAAATTTCACCGTGCCTGACAAAACATGGTAAACCGCTCTCCGATGGGAATTTAATCAAAGAGGATTTTGGCACGCGGTCCCCCCCCCGAAAAAAAAAAACGGTTTGGGGCACGCGGCTCCAGAAAGGTTCGCCACCACTGAGATAGGAGATTAACTTCCACGACACATCTACAAATATTTTATGAAGATCCTGAGTCATTTTGTAATACTTTTTTTTCTCTCAAGTTTCGTTATTCAAGAGCGTATTTAGTGGCATAATACTCAAGATTCAAAATTTTAAAACCTATTTAGTGGATTTTTACTGGATACGTAGCGCTGTTGAATCGAAATATCATACCATGAATATTGCATACAGAAGATTATAAGCATAACCTGATTTCATTGCTCAAAGAAAGCTAATGTTAATATAATAAGGCTTAATTCCAATCCACCTTTGCCTTCAGCCTTTAAAGAAATTATGCTTTAGTTCTGGTTTCATCAACAGATGGCGCCAGTGGCTTATCTCCTGTCCAGGTTTTCTTATCTTATCTCATTCATTTGCGCTTTTGAAGCTGAGGATGATGGTTCGGTAAAACCATCGAAACTAGTCCTGCGAAAATTTGAAAATATAACGCTGATTTTTGTTATTTGACTTCTAAATTAAAGATAATATCGCCAACATGAGTAAAGCTATTTAATATCTTTTACATTTTTCGTATGGAAAGGCAATTATTACATATTCGGTAAACTGTTTCACGTTTTTATACTTTCTTGTAGTAGGTATAAGATACATAATTTCAGTCTAATCTATTAAAAAGTGTTCTAATATTAAGAAATTTTCAGAAAGGAATTAGAAATTGGTAAATTTTGATAATATTATAGAGCTTTTAAATATTTACAATCCTGTCTAAATTTCCTATGCAAATTGAGTATTTTTAATTTCATCAGTGATACTCGTTAAGAAAAAATTGCAGCAAAATCAAAAGCAGTATTCTCCTTTATATTGAAATGCTTAGGAAACCTGTAAAAACAATTTGTTTTTAACGGATAGTTTTGGAAATTATGTCAAATTACGACTTATACGTCATTACATAAAGTAGTTTTAATGAAATTATGTTTTATTGTTCCATCAGCAGAACTTTACCTTAACTTAATAGATATCTAAAGCAATAAAAATTGCTGACAAACTGAAAACGTTTGCTGAAACGCCGAGCAAAATGATATGAAATCTATACTAGCCGGAATTATTCTTGTGGTCTGCCACCGATCAAGTGGATAAGACAACCGAACGCTGGTAGTACGACCTGGGCTCAGACTTCAGCAAATACTAAATAGGGAATATGGGAATTATATGCCCTTCTTCATCTGTAACGTTTGCACCAACCTGTTCCCTTTGGGCAGTCCTCCCCAAAGGCATCGTTATCCCTTAAGCAGATAGCCTTGGGGAACTTAATCAGTTAAAGAAATAAATCCTTTTTTTGGGGGGGTCTGATACCCCCTTTCTAAAAAAATATTAGGTGCCCCCCTCGCTTCTACATAACATAACATACCCCCCCCATTTCTAACGTAATTTAAACAAGTTACAAACATGACAAGTAGAACAACATTTTGGACTAATTACCCGTATAATTTCCTTTATTTCTCCTCACGCGCCTTTTTTCTTTCTCTAAATTGTATTGATATTTGAGACAGAATTTTATTCGCAAAATTATAAAAATTCAGGCAGTTTATTAAATTTGAAAGCATAGGAATGGTTTGGTTTGGTTTATTTTGATTATGACAAAGCTCTGGCGGGTATCTGTCTAAAGGGAGGCAATGAATATTATTTTTAATTCAGAATGTATAATTATATGATATCAATGTAAGATTTATTTTTCAATCAGTTTTCAATTCAGAATGTATAATTACACGATATTAATCCCATATACTATATTATATGGGATAAATAGTTCTGAAATTTTCTTTCAGGTTCATACTAATCATGCTTCCCAGTCGTCTACATTGGTAAGTATACTTAATTATTTATTTGAGTGTGTTATGATATTAATTAAAATTCATAATCCTATTATAAGTTCCTGCTTATTTGTGTACTTCACTATGGACGTTATTTTTTTTCTTCCAAAACTAAGTTTGCGATATGCCCAATATTTCAATTGTTATATCGCTTTCGTAAGTTAAAAAATTTTAGAAGTGACGTTGATTAAAATGAGCACTTATTGATTAATAGCAATCTTTTCCAATATCATAATTTAACATTTTCTAAAATAATTTTACAACCGTTCAATCTCCAGCAAAAACAGTTTGCGTACTTGCATTTCGATTCTAGGAAAACGGTTTTATTTTAAAAATTTGCTCAGCATATCAGAATTAAGATAAATTAGAATCTCCTAAATAACAGAATAAAGTTATCGCTAGTACCGGGTGATCAAAAAGTCAGTATAAATTTGAAAACGTAATAAATCACGGAATAATGTAGATAGAAAGGTAAAAATTGACACACATACTTAGAATGACATGGGGTTTTATTAGAATAAAAAAAAATGGTTCGGTATGGGTTGGATGTACCACAGCTACTGTTATCGGGCCTTTTTCCTTCGAGAAAATGCGTGATTCTGGTTTTGTAACTGCTACCGTGACGGGTGAGAGGTACGCCGATATGTGACAGAATGGCATTGTCCCCACCCTGGCTGATAAACACCTTTGGAACGTACGATTTTTATGCAGGATGGCGCTCCACCCCATATTGCTAGACGCGTGGAAGATCTCTTGCGCGCGTCGTTGGTGATGATCGTGTGCTCAGCCGCCAGTTTCGTCATGCTTGGCCTCCTAGGTCCCCAGACCTCAGTCCGTGCGATTATTGGCTTTGGGGTTATCTGAAGTCGCAAGTGTATCGTGATCGACCGACATCTCTAGGGATGCTGAAAGACAACATCCGACCCCAATGCCTCACCATAACTCCAGACATGCTTTACAGTGCTGTTCACAACATTATTCGTCGACTACAGCTATTGTTGAGGAATGATGGTGAACATATTGAGCATTTCCTGTAAAGAACATCATCTTTGATTTGTCTTAATTTGTTATGCTAATTATTGCTTTTCTGATCATATTATTGCTTTTCTAATTATTGCTTTTCTAATAAAACCCCATGTCATTCTAAGTATGTGTGTCAATTTTTACCTCTCTATCTATATTATTCCGTGATTTATTAAGTTCAATTTATACTGACTTTTTGATCACCCGGTATATAGCATTAAACAAAAAAATCTGGGATTCTTTAGAAGGATCTATTAATGTGCAACGTGATGCTGATATTATTGCTATTGTTTCGTCCAGTGCAGTGTTAGGATCCATAAATGTTAAATATGCGCTTAAATGCATAAAATAACTCCGAAAAAAAATAAGTTTTAAGAATAAAATAGAAGAAACCAAAGTGTAATTTTAAGATTTCTTATTTTTAATTTACCCCCTCCCCAATGGTTGGCCTAAGCCGACTTCGACTTGAACCACTACCAAGACAAGAAGTGTGGTCACTTTAATATAGACGCACCTAATAAGTGGGCCATTTTTATCTCCTATGAAGGGACGGACAGTTACAACCATGCCTTTTACAAGATTTGAACTTGGTATCGCATTCGGCTGCCCTAACCACCCTACCGTCTGGTTATTATAAAATTAAATACTGTGACGGATTTTGTATATATGTAAATAACTTTAATGAAATTACATATGATACTGTAGTATATTTTGTTTAATATAACAATAAATGCTTGAAAGAGACTACGAAGACAAAGCTCTGATGAAAAATAAAATTACAGGTGCAAGTCTATTTAACATTAAGGTATAATGGCTATCTAGTTAAATTGGTGAGATATCGCCAAACTGGCAATTGTTCCAACCACTAACTTTTATCGCCAAATTTTGTGAGAAATCGCAAAAAGTCGTCAGACTTAGCGACTTTTGGCGAACGTTGGCGATATTACATTGTATAATTGTAATAGGTGCTATCACATGTCGGTTTGTTTTGGAAGAACAACTGTTTGGAACAATTTTTCTGCTTCGTCACAACAGCCAATCCCCATAGCTCGCTTTGGGGTTAACACAGGGGTAACTGGTTCCCCATTACAAACAAGCTGATAGCTGATTGGTTGAAAACGAACAACTTGCAATTTCTTGGAAAGGAAGGAAAAAGTCGCCCGTCTTTCTTTCAATAGTAAACCAGGCAGAAAAATTGTTCGTATGAAAGAAACACCGTGTGATATGGGCTTAACTGAATAACTGTAATTGATCCCTATATGTAACTGTAACCGCATCCGTCCTTTAGATGTAAATTTAACCGTATACACCTTTCAGTAATTTAGACAACTGGATCGTAGTAGAAGAGATTTCTTGTCAATCGAGTGAAAACTTTGTAAAACAGGATAGAGAATCGTTTCTTACTCGGTAGTTCACAGTTTCCATTTCAGATGCTCTTTGCATTTCGTTGTGTTTAACGTCCTTAGTAGTCTGAAGTGTAACTACTGATTGCGCTTTGCGATACTGAGAATAGCTGTACGGATGTTTTGTGGAAAGTTCTAAAACCAAAGTCTTCTTTTTTGGTAAAATAAATTTTATCAAGGTATCATCGGTTACGCGTGCATTAAGTGCATTACAAACCCATACGCACACAACAATAGTTATTGAATATAAATTAAAGATTAAAACAAACGAGAAAATCTGAAAATGGTAATATGAGAGCCATTCTTTACTTGAGAGACTGATCTCTACATATAATAAAAAAATCTGATGTGTACACCACATGACTTCCTTGTACGGAATATTAAATTATACGCATTTTTTCTTGCATTTTATTTAAACTTATTCGATTGAATTAAGCCTACTTCGCCGACAGCGCATAAACCACAATAGAATAAATGCATTCTTTAAAATTCACTTCGTTTACCATAGCGACACTCTGGCGCTAGGTTTACTTAACAGTATTATATTTCATTCATATTATAACTCAGAATGCACAAAATGTATATCATTTAAAAAATTATCTAATCGTTGCCACATGTTCTATTCAAATACTATAATAAAGCTAGAACTGTGTATAAAGAAATTAAGCAAATAAAACAAAAAAGAAACAGTTTTTCACAGACGATTGAGTATTTCTCATTTAATTAATTCAGTTCTTACTTCGCGAGATGGCAAAAATACATAAAAACTCAAAATATCTATATTAAAAATTACGAAGTAAATCTCAAATGCTTATTTCCTCGAAAAAATTCCAGAAAGAATTAAGCATGATTTAATTGGCAATAATAAATGAATGCGTTATCTTTGTTGTTGCGAAGCTAAGTTTCTCTAGATTGGCAACAAATCCACTAGTCTCCTGTTTCAAATGTAAACATCAATGGCCGCCATTAAAACAGGCTTAGCGGCAATTAAACAACTTTAAAATTGCTGATAATTCTAAAAATATTGCACACAGATTTACTAGAGGCATAAAATCCTTAACCGGAAGATAGAAACAGTATAATTCAATCATTTTTAAAGAAAAAATTGTACAATTTACAAACATATAAGAATAAAGAAACTGAGATCACTGAGCCGGGTAACAGAGTGGATATAATTATAAATATATTTATATACGTTTGGTGCGGCCGATTGAAACCAAAATACGAAGTGCACATCTACATGTTATAGCAGTCCTATATACAAAATTTCAACGTTCCGAGGCTACTCGTTTTTGAGTTATGCGAGATACGTACGTACATACGTTCGTACAGACGCCACGAAAAATTCTCTTCAGAATTAATTTTAAAGAAGTTTTATAATTTTTTTGAAGGAAAAGAGTATTTTATTCTGTCCTTACGTACAGATATCACGCAAAAACATCGTTAAATTGCATTTGATAGCGGTCAAAATGTATATTTTCGTTGAAATATTTCTGCCTGAAACTTTTCGCGATTACAATACTTCCTTTTTACTACGTACAAGTAAGTAAAACAAGTCTGTGTGTCTTTCGTTCGTGCTGCGCGTAAGCTAATAGACCCAGGGCTATGAAACTTGGTGTATAGGTGCATCTAGACAAGAGCCTGTGCACCTTGAAGCGGTTTTTTACAAAAATCGAATCAGATTTTTTTAAATTTTATCTTTTGGATTTTATCGCATCATTTTGAATAGTTTCATTCTTTTAGAAATGTGGTTTTGGCAACAGGTTTTTATTCAATTGTATACTGGACTGCTGACAGTTGAAACTCAGCACTGTTGCCACTTAGAAAAACGAGGGCGATCATTATGTGCAGTTTTTAAATTTAATGTTTCTCTTGGATATTGGACGTTTATCCGGAGAAGATAACGGGAAGTTGGTTAATTTATTTATTAGGATAATTAATATTTGTATTAAGGGATATTGCTTATTTCATTGTAATTTTATTATATGTAATACATTTTTTTAAAAATTTGTGTTTTTTTTTTTTTTTTTTTTTTTTTTGTGTGAAGTTGTTCTGCAGAGTGAAATTCTGCGCTATTTTTAAATTTAACGTTTGGTGTTCCCTTCAAGCATTTTTGCGGTACATTTAAAAGCCAGACGAAGGCTGCTAGCGTAGCTTCTAGTAAGATATAAATTGAATTATAAAATTATTTGCATGAGATTCAGCACTGGCATCTAATTCACTTTCTGTGTTAATATGTTTGCTTTCGTTGTATATGTAGCTTTCTAGTTTTATCTATTTTTATATTATGTATTTAGGCAGAGATAAGAAATCAAATAAGTGATTTGTCTGAGAAATGGAAGTCACTGAATGATTTAACATTAAGAGTGAGTGCACTGGAGGAGAACGTAACAGATATTGCAAACAAGGTAACAGTTCCCCTCAAACTGCTATTTCTTAGTAAATTAAATTTTTACTGTTGTTCTGATGCACATGGATAATTACTAATATGCATTTTTCCATTAAAATTGAATATGGAATGTGTCATTTCAATTGCAATCTCATAAATGTAACTAATTATTATGATATTCCTAATTTCAGTAGCAAAAATTTAAAAATAACCTTCAATGATATTTTTATCTCATTATGTTTGAGACGTTATGTATGTATGACTGTTTGATATATTGTACAAAAGTAGAAAATGCAAACATTTTTAACGACAGATGTAAAAAGTTTAATGTTTCTTCTTCTTCTTACTAATCCATCTCATCTGAATCAGATCAGATCCATAAGTTCATTCGCCTTCATAACCTCCAACACGAAATTGGATCTGTTCACCAGATCTTCACGCACCAAGGCAACACAACTAAGTAGACATTGCGCAGTAGCTTCATGGTGTCCCATTTGCGTCAAAGTTTTACTCTTAGTGCAAATGGGACAGGTTTTAGTGCAACGGAAATATCTGAGGCTCTTCAAATGTACTGAAGACAACAGAGCCAAACCGTTTGGTCCGTCCTGTCAACAGACCAAAAGGTTCTGGCTGTATGTTCTTCCGGTCTCATTTTGTCTTCAGTCCCATTTGCGTCAAACTTTTACGTTTGGTGCAAATGGGACAGGTTTTAGTGCCACAGGGATATCTGAGTGTCTTCAAATGTCCTGAAGACAACAGAGCATGAACCGTTTGGTCAGTACTGTGAACAGACCAAACGGTTCTGGCTCTGTATTCTTCCGGTCGCATTTGCGTCTTCAGTAGCATTTGTGTCACATTTTTAGGTTTGTTACAAATGGCACAGGTTTCAGTGCCACAAGAATATCTGAATGTCTTCAAATGTCCGGAAGACAACAGAGCCAGAACCGTTTGCCTTCAGTTGGCACAGGTTTCAGTGCCACAAGAATATCTGAATGTCTTCAAATGTCCGGAAGACAAGAGAGCAAGAACCGTTTGCCTTCAGTCCCATTTGCGTCAAATTTTTACGTTTGGTGCAAATGGGACAGGTTTTAGTGCCACGGGAATATCTCAGGGTCTTCAAATGTCCTGAAGACAACAGAGACAGAACCGTTTGGCCTGTACTGTCAACCTTGAAACCAATAGCAGTACCAGGACCTGTACTACGATACCGTAAGTGTGTCGGTACCTCTTTTCAAGAACTGTTAATTAAAACCTTTCTTCTCGAGTGTAGTTTAAGGTAGTCAAAGGTTTAGTATAAACCTGAGGCATGGAAATACTTTCCTCTGCTAGTCTATCACCAGTATCATTATAGTATTTTAGATTTACTTGAGATGGAATACAGTTAAATGTTTAAGAATTGAAAGCTTGATTGTTTGTATCTTTTTAAAAGCATGCGAATGGAAATATAATTTTTTTCGTTTCTTTTTTAGATTAATCAGTTTGTTGGTTCAGGGCAAAATAGCATCTCTAACAGAGGAATCAGGAGTACTATATCAAAGGTATTAATATTTTTTTTTTGCTTCTGGAAATATGAACTGTTAGTGAAAAATTAAGTTATGAAAATTTGCAAAATTTATTGTTTTGCAAAAGCAGACACTCGTGAATATCATGTTGTAAAACTATGCCGTACAGCAACAACGAAATTTGTTTTTGAATGGTAAAATACACAAAAAATTCTAACGTAGGATTTCGATCCTCCGTAATGGTCTGAGGGGACAACAAAAATTAAGATGCTACTTGAGGCGTGCGCGAATGCTTATATCTTCGAAATTGCATATGCTATATTCAATCTAAATATATCATTAGATAGGTGAACGACCACATTAACAAACACAAAAAAATTCAAAATTTTGACAAAGGATATATGCATAGAAATGCGTCAAAAATAGCGAAATTTTGGTGACGTCAAAACTCTGTGCGCATGTGTCACCGCGTGTGAGTGGCATGGTCGCCTGGTAGACTTCGTGTGATGTTTGCTGTATTTTATTTTAATTCGCCAATCTAGTGGTATTGGCATTTATAGAAATTTGACGAATGTAACAGATTGTGTAGCAATAGAATTTACTGTTAAGTAACGTAACAGAATCCAGAATTCAGAAGCAGGCGATATTTGTCTGGTTAATGTAATTGTTAATGAACAGCCATGATTTATTATAGCATCCGTAGATATTAATCCAACTGTTAATTCAGGAGACATGAAGATGTTCTTGTTTAGTGCATTGATGAAATAGTCTGAGACTACTTTATTGATCGATGAATAGTTTACTGTAGATACAGATATTCCAGTTATTAAGATGATTCAACGTAGACGTCAAACTAAATGAAAAGAGCATTTGATTTTACGAATATATTTTTAATCTGAATATGGTTCCAAGTAACTATCCAAGAACACTAGAAAGTTCGTTTATAGATTAAACTTTTCAACACTAGGAAAATAGCTCACCCCGTAGAATAATAACAGGACTGTAAGAGCAAAACTATTGTAATGTAAGCATATTACTATCCAGTTTGTATGTACTTAATAAAAATAATATTGTAAAGCAGTTTAAATGATATTGAAAATCCAGTCAATGTGTAAATGAATTACAAGTTTAATTTGATTATCTCACTAAAATTATTGTAAATATGAATTCATATAATGTTTAATATAATGTTTAAATGTACACATAGCTGTCATGATTTTATGTATCTATCATATGTAACTTGACAAGAGAATGATTGTAATCAACATATCTATGCTTATACACAGGCTTGTATGCCCATGTAATATTTATATGTATATTTTTACACGGAGGAAATTTTTCCTTCTGCCAGGATGACTATTAACACTGTAAGACTTTTACAAGAAAGTCAGGTCAGTGGTTATCTCAGGCGGCGCTCAGATTAAACTTTTATCATGAATATAACTGCAGGCATCTAAGATTATGTATTGAATGGATATATGCAATCAATACAAAATGAAATGTATATATGTGTGTGTACAATCCTTTGTCTATTTTAATTGCTCTATAATACTCTCACACTTCCGTTAGTAATTCTATGCATTACACATCAGCGGCTCTTGAAACTCAAAGAGAGAGAGACAGCCTACCATCATTTTTATTGGTCTCTAATTAATGTTTATATTACTCAAATGACGTCAAGAAGACTCACGTAATGCTGACTTTGCGAAAACGAACGAAAGGATGGGGACGTAGATTTGAAAATATCCTTTATAAAACTGAACTAAATGCATTTTAATAAAGTATAAATTTTTCGCTCATAAACATTTATTTTGTGTATTTATTTTAGGTTAATTTATATTAATATTGGGAGAAAGTTTTAGATAAAATACCCACGGCTATAGCAGAACGTACTCGAATGCTTTCCAGTCTTGCTACCAGTGGCTCGTCTGTTTCAGACGAATGGGCTTGAGCAGTGCGTAATCGGACGTTTTCAAGTCTTGCTTCCGTTGTTCGTCCGTTTCATACGAAAGGGCTTGAGCAGTGCGTATTCGAACGTTTTCCAGGCTTTCTTCACTTTGCTTATCTATTTCTCAAGCTCGTGATACCTTTTTTTTTTTTGTGCTTGAGGTATAGGTCGAGCAATCGATTTTCGTTTTGGTGCCATAGTTGATTTCAAAGCGAAAGTAACGCTTTTTGAGACAATCATTACAAATTCCACTTTCAAAAAGTAAAGAAAATGCTTGTGATGCAATAACACGCATATTAATGCATAAAAGCTTAAGTATTTCATCTTAATAATTATAAAATTATTAAATAATTAGTAATAATTGCTTAAATAATTTAAGTCCTTGTAAATAAATAACTGTGAAATATTCTGCATGTTAAGAGTTAAAAATAACCCAATATGAAGTGTGGCAAAATTTTACTTTCTTTGAAAAGGCGTAAAATAATATGCATAATGTGGATTTACACTAATCAGAACTTTATCTTTTAGGTGCAAGAACTTAGTGACAGTGTAAGCACTTTAACACAGGTAAGCTTATGATCATCAAAGTTATTTTGTGTTTGCAGAATATTCAAATTAACGTTCAACATAACGACTTTCTAAAACTAAATTTCAAATAATTACTAAAATTAATAGTTTCATACGAACTATTAATTCATACGAACTACTAAATTATACTAATAGTTTCATACGAACTATTAATTTTAGTAAATTGTGTGTTATTTATTTTATAAATTTTAGTAAATTGTGTGACACTATTCATAGAAAGTGTGTGTTTCAGTACAAATTAAAAGCATTAATCGCATATGTCTATAACATGTTATCAAACAGAAAATGTATTTTATCAAAGAAAATTCTTTTATAAAATTCTGATTTATATTCTAATAAATCTAAAGCAAAAGTGCATTTTATTTAAATCTAAACAAAAGTGCATTTTATTTAAATCTAATTAGAAATATTAAATGTTTTTATGCAATTACACTAGCTGAATTAATTAAAATCATTATATTTTTTAAAAATTACAATTTTAAGCGGCTAGTTAAATTAAATTTCGTGTTAATTCAAGTTTTATGTTCATGAAGTAAATATCATGTTTCATGACTTGTTAAATTAAATTTCACGCCAGAGAAAACGAGCTCTGAAAGAAAATTCATCCACTTTTACATTTTCTAATAAATCTGTTTTGGGATCAAAACAGATTTTAACATGTATAAGATTTTTAATTTAAAATAAAAATTATGTTACGCTGTTTCAAAACTCTATCAAAATATAAATGTTTGTTTTATATTATACAGAAATAAGCAAGATTGCAAGCCGATGGTAATTGTTTTAAAAGAAAGTAAGCATCGATAGTGTAATATCGATAGCATAATCGTGGCCCGAAAAAGTTTTTTGTGCAAGTATTTCATTGCCCTTTTTATTAATATTAATCTTTCTTATCACTCTCAAGATAAACAAAGTCTCATTAAAATGCTAATAAAGTAACAGGGTATATTTTTTATATTATTTGTCTGTACTCTAAAAAATTACCGTAACCTTAAGGAATTGCGTGTCGATGTAAAACAACATATGGCGCATTTGGTAGCCGTCAGTAGTAAGCCACGGTAACCGGCGGGAGGAAGTGACGTCAGAGAAAGGGGGCGTGGCCGCCGCCATCTTTGATCACGTAGCAACCGGAAGTGACGTAGACAGAGTGGTGTCATCCAATTCATTGCTTCACTTCTTGTTGTCACATGATCCAAGATGGCGGCGGCCACGCCCCCTTTTTCTGACGTCACTTCCGCCCGCCGGTTACCATGGCTTGCCACTGACGTCTGTTTGAGATAACATTCTGTGCATTGTAACGGCTGCCTTTAAGGTCGCTGCGTTTTATGTGTATTTTCAAAAATGCTAAAGGGTTAAAACTTAGATAGAAGAATTGTTTTATAATGCTCTAGTCAAGAGTAAAGAGTTCGTGAAACTTCATGGAACGCATGAATGAGAAGTAGATGGCCTGTTTTCTATTTATATAATTAGGAATAAATACCGTGTAATGTTTTAGCTAAATTGCTAGTCCTTGGCAGCTAGAATACTATCAACTGAGTAGCGAATTATCGCTGCCTTCATGTGGAAAAGAAAAGTCCAAGGAAGGCTTAAATTACCCTTTTATTTAACTCAATAATGATTCACTCATGGCGCCTTTCGGGCTTACAGTAAGCCTCCAGTTGGACTTTAACTTAAGATTGGAAATAAGAAACTAATCTAATGCTAGCTAAACTAAAACCATCCGAAGCTGTACAGAATTAACTAGTTAATAAGAGTTGGCTCTTATTTAAAGCTCACCGTCAAACACCAGCAGGAGAGTAACAATATGGTCGAAAAGTCATAAGGTTACGCATAAAGCAGCCACGTGGCCAGAGGGCAGAACGCGCTGTACGAAGAACTTCCAAGCTCTTCTACTGAAGTGACCGAGACGCCCATTTAAATACAGGTTCTACCTCATTTAAGTAAAAACGTGATCCTGGAAACTCATTTTGTCAGGGAATTGTGGTCGGGAAATCAGGAAATAAAGGAAAGCGGGTTAAAAAATGAAAATAACTATTAGTACATTAAAATAAACTCCTAGAACTATTCGATTCGAAATTTAAAAAAAAATTTTTTTTTAATAAGAATGATTTCATATTTTTCATTTTATAGCTTTTGACAGTAAATGAATGTACCAATAGTCCTTGCAGAAATGGCGGGACCTGCATCGATGCATACAATGGATATATTTGCATTTGCCCTTCAAACTGGGAGGTAAGAATTTTGAATTTATTATACGTTAAATAAAAGACCTTTATTTCATAAAATTTTACAATAGGGATCTCCTTGATATTTTTGGCGATTTTTGCCAAGCCAAAAAGGGTGCCAAGAAGCGATATTTCCAATATGGCTGCCACCCAAAAAAATGCCGAAAACGCATGTAACAAAAGCAACTAAAGTACTCACTTCGTGGTGTGTCTCATCGCCAGCGTCGGATAATTGCTGCATACGGGGTGTATCAGTCCAGCATTAACAAACTTTCAAGAGAGATAGAGTATAACTTAGACATTGGGAAATCACATAGGAATGCATGGTCGGAAATGCTTTCCAGAGCGATAGTTACGACATAAAAGTCAAGAGAGAAGGGACACAAACAGAGAGAAAAACCTTTTTTTATTATGTTTAGTACAGCAGACATTAGTACCTACATGTAAGAGGACAAAAACAAACAACGAACGAGATTAAAGAAGGTGTTCGAAATTACGACCCATCGTCTAGGTGTATTCTATCTCTCCTGAAAGTTTGTCAACGCTGTACCGATACACCCTGTAATTATAATACAAACCATATAGTCCCGGTATTGATCTTTCTCCTGATCCTGACATTGGCGATACCACATAAACTCCACAAAATAGGAATACAAAATATCATCCGACGACTAAAGACTCTGCTTGCGAAAACTCGCGCTTAACATGGCTCTACTTGCGTTGAATGGTGTTGGTATGAGCGCCAGATTCGAGCGCTTTTCTCGCGACAAATACACTCATAGCCATCGATTAATTTTTAAGCACGACCAGGCGCATATCTCTCATACAAACTTAACATGCGTAGCGATAACTAATTAAACCTTTATTCATATATACCAATCAGCTATAGCTTTCTTAATTGGCTATAGCTTTTCTTAATCAGCTATAGCTTTGCTTACAGCTATAGCTCTTCTGTACTCTATATCATGGAAAAACACCAGTATTTATATTATCAAATATACCGGTTTGGAGAAGTGACCAGGACAATGATTAATTAGAACCCGCAGCTAACGAAAACCAACGGTCAATCTGTAGACCTATTAGATTATTTATAAAGCAGGAGGGATGAAAAATGAGCAGCGCTTTCCTCGACAATCGAACCACGGACCTCTAGAATGCGCGGCCAGCGTGCAGACCACTACACCACGAAGGCACGCTAAGAAGGCGGGAGAAATACCGTATTTACGCGAATCTAATGCACATCGTTTTTGGCCAAATGTAGTATTCAAAATTGGGGTGCGCATTAGATTCGATGGCTCATTAGATTCGAGTGCAAAGTTCGCCGATGACGTCAACCAAATTTCTCGACTACATTTACCGTTACATTTATCGTAGACACATTATTGCATAGAAGATACAAACTGCAGAGTACGTAGTCACGAAATGGAGGGCAAACAGAGAAGAATGTCATATGACGCTACTTTCAAACGTAAAGTAATTCTTTATGCTGAAAAAATGGCAATAGAAAGGCAGGGAGAGAGTTCAACGTAGCTGAGAGCAATGTTCGCTTGTGGCGGCAACAGAAATTGGGCACTGTTTGCAACTAAAGCTAGTAGAAAGAAATTCACTGGCCCTCGCAAAGGAAGACAACCCTAAAATTGAAGAAAAAGTTTTGGAATTTGTACGTGAGAGGAGGAAAATGGACAACCTGTGACTAGTGACACCATAAGAAATAAAGCAAAGAGGAGGCTGAAGTTCTTGGAATACCGAAACAAGAGTTTAAGGCTAGCCGTGGATGGGCTGGATCGGTTTTATGAAGCGGATGGGTTTATCTCTAAGACGCCGTACAACAATATGCCAAAAGCTTCCAGCAGATTTTGAGGGAAAACTACTAACATTTCAGCGGTATGTCATCACACTTCGGAAAGAAAAAGAATTTTTCAATGGGGCAAATTGGCAACGCTGGACGAGACGGCCAATTTGGTTTGATATGCCTCGTAACTACAACATTACGGAGGAAGGGGACTAAGGAAGTTATCATTCAAAACTTCGGGATGTGAAAAACAACGCGTAACAGTGATGCTGGCAATAACAGCAGACGGGTGCAAACTTCCCCCTTTCTTAATCTTCAAACGAAAAACATGCCCTAAAACCCCTAAGAATGAAAAGCTGTTCCCAGATGATGTCCTGATTCGAAACCAAGAGAAGGGGTGGATGACGGAATCATTAATGCTTGATTGGCTCCGAAATGTATAGAAACGCCGTCCCGGTGGGCTCTCTAATCCATCATCAATGCTTTGTCTGGACGCATTTCGTGGTCATCTCAACGACGACGTAAAAAAGGAGATGCACAGCCTAGGCAGTGATCTTGTTATCATTCCTGGGGGGATGATGTCTGTGTTACAACCTCTGGACGTTATTATAAATAAACCCTTTAAGGGTTATGTTCAGGCGGAGTACGAAAAATGGTTTTGTGAGCCAAACCGTGTATTGACCCCGACAGGAAAAATTAAGCGTGCTGCACCGCACATTGTTGCACACTGGGTTTCTGCTGCCTGGAAAAGCATCGAAGCACCAATGATTGTGAAATCTTTCAAGAAATGCTGCATTTCAAATTCATTGAATGGCAGTGACGATGACGTGCTCTGGAACGCCGAGGATGACGATGACGATAATGAGGAAAGAAGAAATGAATCTGCTTCTGAGAGCTGCGAGGATTCCAGTGATGAAAACATTAGTGAATAAAGACGTTTACTATTAATCACTGATTGTAGAAACTGTTAGCTAGATAGAAATGTTACGATTTATTTCATGTTCATATTTTACGATAGGTACCGTATATACGGTAATGCTAATTAACAATGATTGTTTCACATGACAATAGCCCACTAATAGGTTAATTCTATGTTCTGCTACTTTATGTATAAATCCATTGTTGTATAAAATATGGTATCTAAATTTAAATAAAATTATCATACCATTAATTTATAGTTTATATACAAATCCATTGTTGTATAAAATAAGATTCAATAAATTCCTCATAACATTGATGCGCGTTACATTCGCCAACAAACAATTTTTTTATTATTTAAAGTTTTAAAATGGGGATGCGCATTAGATTCGATGGCGCATTAGATTCGCATAAATACGGTACTTTATATACTCCCCCTTTTAAAGGGCAACTGGGGTGTTTTAGGGGACCCAATCGCCAAATCCTGGGTGTGGAGAATCATTATCCACCACCCTTTTAATTCGGGCGCCACTTGTAGAGACATAAGGTAATTTTTGGAAGCAGGAAAGAGGAAAAATGAGCAATGCCTTCGCCGGGAATCGAACCAGGGACTTCTGAAATACGCGCCCAGCGTGCAGACCACAACACCACGAAGGCACGCTAAGAAGACGGGAGCCATACCTTCTAAATTTACGGCGATTAAAATTCCAATAATTCAAACGCGGTCAAAATTCAAAATACGTAATTTGACGCAAAATCGCAAAACCGAAACAGCAATCCCTCAGGGACAAAGCACTTTGTACTAATAATAGATAATGAATAATAAAATTAGTATATATAAAAGTAAAAAATTTGAAATCTTTCGGATTTTATGTTACGCCCAAAGGGGCGTTCATTACGTTTTGTTTGTTATCTTTTTTTATTAAATACCACGCTCTTCGTACTTAAACCACAGAATTCAATTCAACAGCAATGTCAGAAAATAATCTAAAAGGAACATATTTTTAGAATTTCCGATTCCAAGCGCTGGAGATACAATTTTTTTTCCCGTCAGTACTCGCTTTGAAATCGTTGAGTTTGTTAATCAAAAATTCGTTAAAGTTTTACAAAATATGAAATAGATGATAAAACAAATTCAAAATTCCAAATGTAGGCTTCCAGATGATCATATTCGAGTGAAGGACTACGTTATTCAAACTTGATGTCTCTAGGTACCGTTTTATTTTTCATCGTGCGATAAACATGCATACATTCATGCAGATTCTTCATTATTTAATTTCTTTAAATATTATGCAGGGCTGTAATATTAAGTGGCAACAGTTTGAGAAGTAAAACGAACTCAAAATGTCAAAAACTCAAATTTTATGGTGAACCAACTCAAAATGCCCAAAACTCAAAATTTATGGTGAACCACCTCAAAATGCCAAAACGAAATTAATATCCCCTCTGAGCAAATTGTCCTTTGGGATAAAAATGCCAAAAGTAGAAGTTAACAATTTAAACCAAACTAACAAAGGGCAAAATAACAAAGTAAAATACTGAACCTCAATTTATTTAATGTTCCGGCTCGAACTGCGATTTGACCTGGAGAATAAGAAGTTCCAGAGCTGTGCTCCAGTGGACTGCGGGTGAATTTAAGGCCTGCAATCGATCCCTTTTCAGATTAGAGTAAAGTAATCGAGAGCTTTCTGCATGAGATCAGGACTGGCATCTTAAAAATCTTCTTAATAGAAATTATCTCGTATCCTGTTACACACGAGGAAAGCCGCGGAAACTTCTCATGCAATCAGCCTGTTGCCACAGATCTGAACGCAAAACGATTGCAATATCATTTTTTACTTCCTTGCAAAAGAAGTAAGTACTGTAATCTCGAAAAATTTCGGGTATCACATTTCAACGAAAATTTCCATTTTGAGCGCTCTCGAATCCATTTCTAACGAGGTTTTTGCGTGACATCTGTACGTAGGGACGAAATAAAGGACTCATTTTTCCAAAACGAATTATAAAATGGATTTAAAATGGATTCAGAAGAGTTTTTTTTCGTGATGTCTGTACGTACGAATTCAAAAACCAGTAGCCCTAGAATGGTGACATTTTGCATATGGGGACTGCTATAAAATATAGTTGTGCACCTCCCATTTTCGTTGAAATTGTACAAATTGTATGTTAGATATATATATTTTCTCGCTGGGTTATGCAGCTGGGCCAGCTCAGTTTTTTTTATTCTTTATATGTTGCTGAATTGCGCTTTTTTTGCCTTAAAAAGTGATTGAATTTTGTTGTTCTTATATTCTGGTTAAGGTTTTCATGCTTTAGTTAATCTGCGCGTAATAGTTGTACGATTACGAACAGTTTAAAATTTTAAGTGGCTCTAAGCCTAACGACGACGTCATTTGTTTGCATTTGAAACGCTTAGTAGAATAGTGAATGAAGTTGGTTGGTGCACCAACTTCAGTGTCTTTTTACACAGTGGAACCATAAGTTAACTCTCAGTTTTGCGCACGGAAAATTGTGTTTCTCTGCCTGCAAGTGGAATTGTTTGTTTTTGCTTAGCAGCTTGTTTTTTGTATTCTAACTGTTTGTAACAGTATTTGATGTTTTAGGTTTTTCTGCAATTTTCAATTTTGAATGAAGTTTGAGTTTTTATCTATTTTTGCCATGAAATCACGTGGCACACGGAAATGACGTCACTTCTGTCACCCAGTTACGGAAGCTTACTACTAGTGCTTTCTATATGGGTTGGATATGATTTTATATTGCTGTCTGTCATTCTTTTACCCGGTTGGTAGTCTTGCTTTTTCTAATATTTTTCAAGGTATTCATTTGGTGACAATTTTGCAAAGATTTTGGCTCTCGTTTTCAAATGATTTCATCAATTATTTCTTTCTGATATTAATTTGGATGGAGGTCCTCGTTTTCCTTGTGAGTCAAATATCACAGTGGACGTGTATGTGACATTTTCTTTGTTTATTTGTTAAGCATGGTCTTTGTGTCTGTGAGTATCTATTTCAAGTAAACCCCTTGAAGCTTAAATGTAGTATCACACACAGCATAAGTATGTCCATCAGATAATCCAGTAAATTCCCATAATCATTTTATTACTAGGAACAAACATGGAATATCCCAATGTCCACCTACTTTGTCCAAAAAATGTTCCAATGTCCCCGAAATGTTCCCAGAATTATGCAAGAGAAATTCTTTACATGTTCTAGGGATGTTTAATAAATTTAATCTATGAACAGAAAGTAAATTTTTACATAAGAAAATATTACAACTCCCTCTACTTCGCTGGCAGGGAAATAAGAAATTCGCCTATTAATCGGCTTTTTATCGCCAACACCTACCGACCGATAGCCTATTAATCGGCTTTTTTTTGCCAACGCCTACCGACCGATTGCCTATTAATCGGCTTTTTTCTCGATACACCTAAAAACAGTCTATCAATCGGTAGCCATGGCGATAAACAATTGCCATTTTCTATATCACCTGCATTTTATTAGTAGTATTGAGGTACATTGCTCACTTGCGTTAAGGGCGTTGCTTCATAAACTCCCTCATTTTCACACCATTAAAAAAAATTTACCGTTCATGATGAGCGAAATAAAAGGTACTAGAGAGTTTTAGTTAGACGATTTATCAGAATGGGAGAATCTGCGGCTGAGCTGGTCGGACGTGCGTATGCTGTTGAACTGTTAGTGGTCGGTAAAATGTTAAGTTGCAGAAGATGTTATTTTCTTCTTTGCATAATCAAACGCAAATATGATTTTTCTTCGAGTTAAAGCTCTTTCTGCTTCAAGGGAAAAAATGATAATTTTTATGTGTTTGAACAGCATATATGTATTTTCTCCTGCCATACTTTGTGTTTGTTATTTATAAAATTTGCAAATTTATTTTATGCCTATTTACAGGGAGTGACTTGTGAAACAGATGTTAATGAATGTGCTGTTTATGCTGGCACGAGCTTCGGCTGCCAGAATGGAGCTACTTGCATCAATACTCAAGGTGGATACAGGTAAGAAATAAATTTGGAAGAATGAGAACATCTACTATTTGCATTGAAGTATGGAGGGAAATGTTCAATAGTTTTTCTGTCGATGGTGAAAAAGGTGGGTAAATAGCTTTAAAAACACAGCCATTTTAAAGCTTCCTGTTCCCATGATTTCATCGTTGGACTATTGAACTGTCACAGTAGAAATATCATAGTATTGAATATCACAGTAAAACTATCATAGTATTGAACTATCACAATAGAACTGTAATTTAGTGCTACTTCAATATTATGCACACGCACAAAAATCTGACAGTCCATTAATTAGCATACTTCTTTTATATATGTAATACCAAATAACGAAGTTTAAATCTATTTCGTTTTAGCTGCCAGTGTGCCAATAATTGGAACGGTATCCATTGCAATCAAAAGTTTGATGACTGCAGTATGGCATCCCATCAGGAACTGTGCGGACATGGGACTTGCATAAATGAAAAGCGTGTACAACCGGGGCAGGTAATTTGAAACTAAATTTTATTCTTTCTTTCTAAATATTTAATATTAGTATATTAGAATTTCTCTTTTGGTACTGGACGTTTGTCGAGAGAAGGCAACGGGAATTTGGTTAATTTATTTATTAGGATAATTAATATTTGTGTGAAGGGATATTGTTATACCGTTGTAGTTTTTTTGTGTGTAATACATTTTTATTGAAATTTGTGAGTTTTTTTTTTTTTTTTTTTTTTTCATAAAGTTGTTTTGCGGAGTAAAATTCTGTGCAGCTTTTAATTTTAATGTTTGGTGAGCTGGCTGCATAGCGGCTAGTAACATATAAATTACTCATTCGTTGAAATCCAACAATATTTCGAAACCGAAAAATCGCATCACTATTTGAGTTTTAACATTTCTTATGTTCATATAAACTATTTTTCTTATACTTATGTTAATATATATATATAAATATTACAAAATGAAAACTTTAAAAGAAGAACATTATTTCGGAACGTGCAAAAGTTATTGCAACAAAAAACACACATTTAAAAAAAAAAAAAATCCAGCAAGTAAAGTATTAACAAATCTTATGTTTAAAATAATTATAAAAATAAAGCGTGGAAGTTTTTAAAAAACGCGTAAAACTTATTGTAGAGCAATTATTCACAATTTCATGTTCCACTTAGATTAGACTGTGCGTAAATAATTAAAACATATAACACGAATAATTATGAAGCTCTGAATACACGTTTTGTGCTTCTTGACTTTATGAATGAAAAAAAATTAGAATAATACGGACATTTTTACAAAAACTAATCCCCATTTTCAAATAATCAAAATACAGCCCCACGCGAATTCAGATCTCGAAGGAAAATACAAAAATTCAAACACACAATTTTACGACTTAGTGCGAAATCAAGTTATTCTACTACTTGCGCAATTGCTGAAAAGTAACTTAATAATCATTTATTTACTAAATAATTTTGATTATATTATCTCCTAAGATTAATTATAGTAGAATTATCTGAAAAAAGTGAATCCATACTTAGTAAGTTCTATTTAGAAAGATGTTTTGAAGTAACTTGAATGTAAATTGTTAAAAATGTTTAACGGAGACTGGAATTTAATCATGAATAACAAAATTTCGATTGTAAAAGGAATAAATTTAAAGCAAGAATTAAATTACATGCAAGTAATCATTGTCATTGATCGGAAATTAGTTGACGTTTCAAGGGGAACAAACCAACTTCCGTTCAATGAACAATAATTATATATTAATTTATATATATATATATATATATATATATATATATACACACACACATCTATATATATATTTGTAATAATAAAATCCCATAGTCAAGATTACACTTAAAGTTCTAACTCTATGTTCTTTTCATTTTTAATGGCGACGTTCTCTTATTTGAAAGTACGTGGAATTAAATCCACAGCCCCGTAGTCAAGTTGTTTTTCCCGCCTTTTCTACACGTACAGTTATAGAATGTTCTGGAAATATTTAAAGCGAACTGGATTGGCTGACGAGGTTGACGTCATTTCTTGGAAGCTCCGCCTTTCCAGAGGCTATAAAAAGACTCGCAAAGGAATATCGGGGGCTTTTCTTAAATGTCACGATGCAGTAAACTTCACACAAAAAGTTAATAGTAGTTCTTTTTTATTTACTCCGGATATCTGATTTTGTAACTGCTATTTCTCCTGAATAATAATAAATGGATCCTGTTTTTAAACTTATCGTCTGATAATTTAAACTACGACTACATCTATATTTCTTCAACGATCTATTTATTCTGGACAAAAGCTGATGCATGACACACACACATATATATATATATACATATACACTGACTACCAATAAGTATTTGGACACCTGTGATAGAAAAGAAAAACTAACTTTATTCAAAATCAATAGTTGGTAGAGCCTCCACGAGAGGTAATTACAGCGTGGACCCTCCGGGGCATACTTTCCTACTTTCCACAAGTCTTTGTATGACAGCTAGTGATATTTTCTTCCACTCGGCTTGGAGAAGACATAGAAGTTCCTTCACCTATTTTGCACGGGTAGTGCACCCCTGAATTCGGCGATGCAACTCGTCCCAGAGGGTTCAGGTTCGATAGGGTTCAGGTCTGGACTCTGGGCAGGCCAATCCATTCGATGAACTCCATTGGCACCATACCAAGCCTTGGTTAACGTCGAAACATGACAACTGGCATTGTCGTCCTAAAAGTAACAGGGATCCACCCCGTAAAACTACCACAACGTAGGAAGCACATTGTCATCCAAAATAGTGCAGTAGGCATCGGAGTTGAACTTACCATGAATGGGGACCAAGGGTCCCAGCCCATACCAGGAGAAACACCCCCAGACCATAATTCCACCTCCACCAAACTTGACTGTTGGCACAATGCATTCTGGCAGGAGACGTTCTCCAGGTAGACGCCAGAACCAGATCCTGCCATCCGAACGGTAAAGGGTGAACCTTGATTCGTCACTCCAAAGAACCCGTTTCCACTGATCTAGGGTCCAATTTCGATGTGCGTTGCACCACATTAACCGAGCAGCGCGGTTGGACTTTGTGATCAAAGGCTTATGGGCAGCAGCACGACCATGAAAACCAAGCAGATGTGCTTCCTTACGGATGGTATTCATTGAAACAATACTCCCGGATGCCTGTTGAAATTGTTCGCGGATGAGGGCCATCGGTTGCGTGCGGTTCTTCCGAATTTCTCTGGACCGCACTCGTCGGTCTCTATCTCCCAGTTTCGTTGGTCTGCCGACTCGGGGCACATTCCGACAATCACCGCTCAGCTTCCACTTCTTAATCACATAGGCCACTCTCGATTTTAGGTACTTCAGATCGCTAGATATGTCCCTTAAGGATCGGCCACATTTGTGATACCCGATAATTATACCTTTCTCGAAATCAGAGAGCTCCGAACTGTGAGGCATCTTGCATGCAACTAAAGCCGATGCTGTTTCCTACACTATATATACCGGCGGAGTCCGTGATGTACCTTAGGACCGCAGACATCGTCATTTGCATAGGTGTCCAAATACTTATTGGTAGTCAGTGTATTATCACAACCACCTTTGTAGTAATCTCCAAAGCCTCAGAATGCACCAAACTTTGGTAGCCACGCCCATAACAATTAATCAGACAGCCATGATCGCAAGAAATAATCAGTCTTTAACATCGCTTTCCGTATGCGTTCTTTTAATTATAATCCTTTTTTTTTTTTTTTTTTTTTTTTTTTTTTTTTTTGTTCCGTCTGTTTGAAGGTTCTAAATAAAGGTAATTTTGGCTTTTATAGAAAAATTATTATTATTATTATTATTTTGTTGTTGTTGTTTGTTTAAATTCGATTTTAAAATTTGCGCTTACAGGATTCTCCTACAATAGAACAAAGCGGAGGTGAAATTTCTGCATGCATACATTATTTTATTGCAAAATCGCTTGAGGAGGTGCATACATTATTTTGTTTCAAAATCGCTAAATAAACAATGCTTCGAATTCTTTCTCAAAGCAATTGTTACAAAGTTTCCACCATTACAAACCAAAGACGTTTTTTGTCAATAGATTTACTGAGTGCCTTTTGAAATAAATATATAGTTGGAAAGCAGAATATGAACATTTTAATATCTATGTACGAAATATATAATTTTTTACAAATAAAAGTTATTGTTCTTCTTCTTCGTTAAAATTGTACAAACTGCGCCAAGGTGTTTTCAGTAATACTCAAGTTAAAGTATAATACAAGCTCGTACTTATATACATATGTTGCAATTATTAATATTGTTGAAGAATTGCCTTGCTTTGATCCCAATTAAATTTTACCGTTAGATGCTTTACGTTTTATATAACCCCCTTTTGGACCCTTAGGTTTTCTCCACGCTGACCGTTTACGACCAATGGGCTACTGCATCAATACGTTTGTTTTTCCTTCTACGTCATCTCATCCGTTTGGTGAAATTTGAGTGTTTTGCGATTCTGAAAACGTTTCTTCCGGACTTCATCTTATTCCGGCAACCTTTTTTGGCGATTTTTGCTCACTTTATGTGTGTGTGTATTTAATTATGGCAAAGCACACTAGGGCTATCTGCCTAAGGGGAGGGATGCCTTCGTGGAGGACTTTCTAAGGGAAACTCGCTCGTATACACGTTACACATGGGGAAAACAACGAAAGCACCCATGCAGCCAGCCCGTTCTCGGGATTCGAACCTCGGAACGAACTACCAGTGTTCAGCGACTTTACCGCTCGGCCGCTGGCAGGCTTTGCTCACTTTAATATGAAAAGGCAATCGTTAAGGACGCAGGTATGCCAGTCTTTCTTCTAGTTTTCTTTGCCTTTGGTCTTAGCAAGACCCATTTTGTGTCGAATTTTTATTTCTTTTTAACAAAGTTTTTATTCTTCGTATTGATAGGGCTTACCCTTAAAATAATCTAATATTTAACTAATAGCTTTTTAGCTATTTATTTTAATTGCACATTGGCCAAAACAGGATACCTTGTATTGGTTTTTCTTACATCCGGTTCAAGTTTTAAAAAAAAAAATATAAAAATTTTTATGTTCTATTTTTGTTGTCTTAGTTCAATTTTAATTTAAATTGCAAGCACGTCGGGAAAAGAGAGGAAATTATTGAGACATTTCTATAACTTTTTTTAAATTAAATAATTTTATTATTGAATTACTGTTTTAAGTCTCAATTGTTTCGTTTGACGAAACGTGCTTATGGTATTAGCCAAATTGGAGTTTTCTCATGCTTTTCCCTTGATAAGTTCTGTGTGAAACTTCGAATCGAGCTAATTTACCATTTTTTCCATTCTTTGTATATTATTTCTTTGTCTTTCAAATGTTTTTAATTGTTTGCGAACAAAATTGATGTTTTTTTAGGTTTAAATCATTATTATAGTCTTTTCTATTTTCCAATTAGTTTTTGTAGATTAAATTGTTTGGTAGTTATTACAGGAGGTTGTTTCGCGTAGATTTTAACTGCTTTAGTATTATGCAATTGTTTTTACTTGATGTTACTGGTGAACTGTGGAACTGCAGTATCATATTTGCTTTAAAGCATTAGCAAAAAATTTTTTACTTTCCTCTTCTGTGCTAATATATATATATATATATGTCATAATAAAAGCACAAGGAAAGACGGAACACTGTAGATTCGTGATTAGACCCATATTGAAGAAAAATTTGATTATGTAGTATGCTAGTAATGCTAACTTGGTAATATCTAAAGAACTTGGCAGTCGCGGCAGTTTTTAATTCCATTTTTATTTGCAACTGATATTTTTGGCCACAATCACTTGGCACTCTAGTCGTGCCTTTCCACAGAAGATTTACATTTTTGATACTGTTGAGATAGAAAGCAAGCCAGCGAAATTACATCTTAGCACAGTAGAGAGCAAAACCTGAAGTGCGTACTTACGAAAGATGGAAGCACGGCGAAGAGAAAAGTTTTGGTTTACAATGGCAGTTTCAGTTCCCAATTATTACGTTATCAGAGCTGCGCGGGCCATAGAGTGATCTAGAAGACGCAATGCAGAGAAGTTATTACGATTTTGGAATAGAGAGGAAGAATTAATGTTTATAGTTATATTATAATTCTGATTCATATAATTTTATCTTACACACACATATATATATATATAAAGTATATATGTATATGTGATGTACCAGCTTTTGTCCGGAATAAATAGATTGGTGAAGAATCATAGATGTAGTCGTAGCTTAAATTATCAGACGATAAGTTTAAAAAACAGGATCCATTTATTATTGGTCAGGAGAAATAGCAGTTAAAAAAATTCAGATCTCTGAAGTAAATAAAAACGAACTACTAATAACTTTTTGTATGAAGTATACTGCATCGTTACATTAAAGAAAAGCCCCGATATTCCTTTGCGAGTCCTTTTATAGCCTCTGGAAAGGCGGAGCTTCCAAGAAATGACGTCAGCCAATCCAGTTCGCTTTAAATATTTCTAGAACATTCTATAACTGTACGTGTAGAAAAAGGCGGGAAAAACAACTTGAATACAGGGCTGTGGATTTAATTCCCCGTACTTTCAAATAAGAGAACATCGCCATTCAAAATGAATAGAAGAGTTAGAATTTTAAGTGTATTCTTGACTATGGAATTTTATTATTACTTATATATAAATATAAAGTATACAACTGTTTTTGTAGCCAAAATACCGCTGCCTCTGTGACCCGGGCTGGCAAAGTTCCAGCAGCAGCCCTGCTTGTACTCAAGACATTGATGAATGTAGTGGTCCTCAGAAAAGATGCTCACAAAATCCACCTGTTACATGCATCAACCTACCTGGGACATTTCACTGTGGGCCTTGTCCTGAAGGTCAGTATTTTAATATTTTTAGAAACAACAAAAATGCGTTACATAACGATAAACATTTTCCAAAAATGTTTTAAGGCTTCCAAACATCTAAGTTTTCATGCAAGTTACATAAAACCTAAAAATTCTTATTTTAAAAGAAGTTAAAATTTTTAAGATGAAAATGAATTTTTAATTGATAATGAGTATTTTCGTCTGGTAAATATTTCGTCTGGTAATATTTCGTTTTGTCAAGACTATTAGGGGAGCTTGAAGAAATATATCCAAAAAGTTAGCAAAAAATTCGGTTAATCTTTGGATTATGGTAACTTGACGATTTTTTGACGAAAATTTGGCGACCAACCCTGCTACAGCAACCTGCTAGTTTTTGTTTGGACGCCATTTTGTTTTCACGAAGTAAAGGCATTTTTTTTTTTTACTCAACATTTTTTTCCAACAATCTGCTAGCCGAATTACGCTTATGCTAGAACTTTTATGGAACAAAAGTGCTTAATCATGACGAAGATTAGGTGCGAAATTGGGACAAAGTGCAGAATCGCCCACTGCTTGCCGCGTTTTTACGAATTGCACGTACACGGTATCATGCATGTACACATCGACCTATTTTCACTTAAAAAAACATCCCAGAATTGCACAAAAATGGCATTGCGCACACTCTTGACTACATCCATGTACACTGCTAAAGTCCTAGCTAGTAACCTTTATCACCTTACCAAAATGTCGCCAAACTACCTGTTACCATATTTCAAAGATTAGCCAAACATTCGACTGACGACTAACCGTCATCAAATTCGTTTGGAGTGCATTTAAGTGCGTTGGAGTGTAACCCCCAACAGTGACCAAGCTGATAAGAACTTTAAATACTGATGGTTGGACCTGGTTTGCGTTCGACATTAGACGAACGGCTGACTGAATGGATGGTTTTATCGGTTTCCCCAAGTGTAATGGTAATGCGTATCAGTTTCTTTCAGAAAGTCTTCCAAGAAGGCATTCCTTCTCTTACGCACATAGTTCTCATGGCTTTGCCATATTCAAACAATGTTAACTTAAAATTATGCTTTTAAGCTCATAGTCGGGCGCTCAAAAAAGGGGTTACAGAAGTGTTAAAAGGCAAAAACTTGCCTTTTTCGTTTTAGTATATTTCGGTTAAAATGCTAGATACACAATCATCACTAACAGGAAAGAAAAACAAAAGAGTAACGAATTTAAAATCTGCATTACAATTCGCCTTCCTCCAGGGAAAAAAAAAAAAAAAAAAAAAAAAAAAAAAAAAAAAAAAAAAAAACCTAATATTTTAAAATAATAAATAGAGAGGGTGTTTAAACCTTTTTAGAACAATACCTTTTTAAACATTAATTAAGCGTCACAGAAATCATTCTAAAGGTATGTATCGCGTCAGTCCATAAGTTCGTGCGCATTAAGAGTATGCGTGGAATTCACTATGACGCATTTACTAAAACAATACAATTTTGAACCTGTTGAAACTTGTCATCGTTTGACTAACATATTATTCAGTTCATCACAAACTTTCGTAAATATCAAAAGCATTTTAGTACCCATAGAAGATGAATATAGATAATCAGTACACACGTGCTGTGCTACATTTTTGTATTTTCGTGTGGTGAATCTGCCAGGTTTGCAGCAATAAAAATTAATAGTGTACATGGTGCACACTTTATTAGTGTAAGGACTGCCCAGAAATGGTTTAAAAATTTTAAAGTTGGAAAAAGCAGGATTGATGATGAACCCCGTTCAGGACGTTGTGAACTGTTAGAACCAAATCAAACGATTCATTCAGTTTATAGTGAACAACTTTGCCGTCTAAACTCAGAATTGATCAAAAAACGCTCACGATTGGTGAATATCAAGAAAGTGTTGTTTCATCATGATAACGCTAGACCGCATACGGCTCGAACAACGCTGCAAAAAAATTAGCGAATTTAATTGGGAGCTTTTGCCACATCCTGCTTACTCCCCAGATATTGGCCCAAGTGATTTTCACTTACTTCGTGCCTTACAAAACTTTTTACTGGGGAAAAAATTAAATTCTAAACAGGATGTACGCAATGAAGTTTCAAGTTTCTTTTCATAAAAACCTGTCTTCTACAGCAATGGCATAAAAAAGCTGCCTGTAAAATGGCGAGACATTGTAGATGATGGAGGAAAACATATAATTGATTAAAATGTTAAATTGTGTTTTTTTATATTATTTAAAAATTTACCAAAAAATGCGCAGAAATTTATGGACTGACCTAATAAATAACCTCTATGTATGGAAGCTGTAGATTATAATTTATAAATTGTTCCTCGGCAAAATTAGACGTTTATTTTAGTCTTTTAACGAAACGAAATACCTTAAAGAAATTTAACAACAAAATTATATCCTGAGTGAATATATAAAAAATTAGACATATCGTTTTTTAGGATACACTGGTGATGGACACAGCTGTACAGATATTAACGAGTGTGAGGTAAATAATGGAGGCTGTTCAATGCATCCTTTTGTACAGTGCACTAATACGATCGGATCAAGGACATGTGGATCTTGCCCAACAGGTGAGCATTTTAATATGGTTATGAATTAATATATAACCTTGATTAAATACTAAGGAAAATGCAATTTTTCATCGTAAGCTGCTGAACGAGAAGCAAAATATACGAGCGGGCTGTGGCCAGAACAAAACTTATTAGTTCTGTGTGAAACTGAAAAGAAAATGCATAAACACATTTCAGTACGAATAAAATCAGTTCACTCTTTCCAAGCAACAGCCAGTTCGTAAATATTTTTTGTTGCCAAACCAGGAACAAAAGATTTTGACACTCCAGGATAATGCGTATACCGTCATGATTTAAATTTAATGTAATATAACAATTTTTTCTCAGTATCAATAAAAGAATTAACCTGGCAATAGCACATCGTGTCAGTTATCCTAACCTGAAACAAAAAAGTTGCCATGCAATCGCGTGCAAGCGTCACATGCAATTGCATGCTTTCTTAAGTCATATTCTGACGTCAAATATAAACATTAACGTCATACATAAACATTAAATATAATAATAATATATTTAATGTTTGACAATGTTATTTTTTTTCATATTTTGAAAAACTCACAAGTATTTTTATTAACAAATTCAGATTTGAAAGCCAGCATTGGCAACATTTTTCGAAATAAAGCAGATTTTTATTTCCAGACAGCGAGACTGTTGCCACTCGGAGAAATGACTGCTAAAATTAATCTTTTCAAAGTTTTTAATTAATATAGCTGATTTAAGTCATACAAATTTGAGAATGGTCGAAATGGCTTCCCATGAATTTTTCGAATCCGGGGGTAACGCATGGTGTCACAACAAACAGACGCACGCAGATTGTCGTTCAAGGTTGATCGAGATTTTTATTTCTTCGTAGGAAAAAGATAGCACAAGAAGCACCAAACTATGTCAGCTTTTCAAAGTATTCTTCGTGCACGTGGAGGCACCGCTGCCATCGTTGTGGCAGCTCCCTGATTCCTTTGGCGTAGAAAGAACTTGGTTGTTATCGTAGCCCCTGGAGGACATCGTTCCGCAGTGCTTCATCTGTCATCAATTTCTTCCCTCCCAGATGGTCTTTAAGGGGTGCAAACAAATGATAACCACTTGGGGCTGAATTTGGACTGTAGGGGGATGGGGCAGAACTTCCCAGCGCTTTTCGGCCAGATCTGTTGCTGTCACATTGGCCATGTGAGGGTCTAACATGGAGAAGAATGATATTTCCAGAGAACATTCGTGGTCTTTTCTTGCGAATGGACTTTCGAACAGTACCACTCAACAATGTGGAGTAATACTATACATTAATTGTGCTCCATTTATCCAGAAAATCGACATTGTAACACCCTTTATATCCCAGGAGACACTTGCCATGATCTTTCCAGCGGACGGTTGCGTTCTTGGGCGGTGGAGAACCTTTATGCCGCCACTTTATGCTACTTCTTTTGGTGTTTGGGGCTGAATTGTACAACCATGTTGTATCGCCATGCAACAATTCATCACTTTCGACTCGAAACCGATTCGGAAATTGGTCACAGATCATCATGCGTGACCACTTCTGATCGAATGTCAGCTGGCGGAGAACCCACCTTGCACAGATTTTGCGGAATCGTAAGTGGTCGCGAATGATTGTCTCAACACGCCCGACACTGATATTCACATCGGCAGCAATATACCGCACTGTTACTCCCCAGTTTTCAAGAATCATTTCCTCAACACGTGCGACATTCACTGGTGTGACCGGGCGGATGTGTCCATGCGATTTCATTTGTCACCATCTCCCGTCCTTCGCAAAAACTGTTCACACCATTCGTACACTCTTGTCCTTGACATCGTTTGTTTACCATACTGTGCTTGCAATCTTCTGAAAATCTCAGCTGGGTTAACTCTCTCCTTCACAAGAAATTTGATTACAAACCGCTGCTCCACAGCCACACACTGCTTGCCGCCAGGTTCGCTGCAACGGATGCTTATGCGTCAAATACGTCATGCCGGGCGCTAATTACCCGAGAAGGAATACATTACGTCACCCGCAAGTTTCATCATGATTCGGCCATTCATCGATTTTTAGCGTATGAAATTTTTTTTAACAAATTTTTTATGTACAAATTTTTTTACGTATGAAATTTTTTACGTACGAAATTTTTTACGTATGAAAATCTTGAACGACCTGTAAATTGGAAAATGGGTAATGCGGGAATTGTCAGTAAAAATTTGAGCATTCTGGTTCTTAGTCACCTATTATTTGTATTAAATTTTATTTATTTAAATTTAATTTCCGATCAGATCGGCTAAATCGCATTTTAAATTCATTTTGATTTCCACGTGACAGAACATATAAAGTTCACCCTGTTCTGCGATGACGATTGTTATATCGTTAGGTCTGAGTTGAATCTCTGAGAAGATATAATATGAATGTTTCCAGATATGTAATGTTTTTGCGGTACGGTTGTACTTAAAATGCCTTCGAGTCGATTCCTCGAGTTTAGTTCTAGAGAGGAGGAGTAGCAGAGGTTTGGACTCTCTGCCACCCCCCCCACCACTACAGGATCCTTTCCCCGAAATTAAGACAGAGTTAAACCATAGTTGGGCTTTCGCTTAGAAGGTGTTTGTTGTGACTGATGATTATGGGTGATTTTCGTCCGGTATTTGGCTTCAAGCATAAATAAACTCTTTCATTCATAGTAATACTACAAAATACTCGTAACTATATTTTTTTACACGTATTTCTCACAAATCTCTTCTTAAGATTTCCTTTTTTTTTTCCTTCAAACCATTTCAATTTTTTTTAAGCGTTTTGTTGCTTTTCTCTGCATCTCGCAGGCGTTGGCGTCCTCACTCTCCGCAGAAGGTGCCAGTGCCTCATAGTCTTCAAAGTCTTGGCCATAAATAGGCCGGTCTCCTCCTTGGGAGATGATTGGTTAATGGAGATGAACTGGATAGGTATCTGAAGGATAGACTAATAAATAAAATAATTTAGGATTTCCTGGGTTAGATTAGCCATAGACGAAAACTGATTTTGGTTGTTTGCAGTTATGTTTGGATTCAGTGTTAACTGTTGTTACTTCTTTACTTTTTTCTATAGGAATGCAAATAGGTTTATTTCTTTATTTGCGACTTCAACTCAAAAATTAAAAAAAATATTGCGATTGAGTTTATGAAGTAGATTTTCTAGTCACAAACTTGTGATAATAGGCAACGTCAAAGCTAACTCTTTGAGCATTGAGGATAAATGATTCGAATAAAATAAATTTACTTTAATTGTGTATGTAGTTGAAACTAATTGTAGGCAAAATATTTTTTTAAAGAACTTTGAATCAAGCTAGCATTTGGATTGTTTAGACACTTTTCCATGATCTGTTCCCTAGTTATCTGCAAAATATTTACATTATTTATAAACCATGTAAACCCATTTGAGGTATTTGACTACTTTCGATACCCTAATTTCGGACGATAGTACAAATAAAGCTATTATTGGTATTATTTAGCAGACTACTACTTAAAATTATAGAAACAAGTGATCAAAATATTATCAAAGTATAAATTTCGATTTTTTTCTTACATTTTGTTTAAAACTTTATAAGGTATTTCTCCCGCCTTTTTGGCATGCTTTCGTGGTGTGGTAGTCTGAAGGCTGGGCGCGTATTCCAGAGGTTAGTGGTTCGATTCCCGGAGAAGGCGTTGCTAATTTTTCAATTTCTCTTGATTTCAAAACAGGCCTAATGTTTCAATAATGGCACTCGAACTAAAAAGGTGGTGGATGAAGATTCTTCCCACCCAAGATTTGGCTATTGGATCCCCTGAAAATCCCAGTCGAGCTTTAAAAGGGGTTGTATATAAAGTATTTCTCCCTCCTTCTTGGCATGCCTTCATGGTGTGGTGGTCTGCACGCTGGACGCGTATTCCAGAAGTCCGTGGTTCTATTCCTGGCGAAGGCTTTGCTAACTTTTCAATCTCTCTTGCTTCCAAAAGAAATCCTAATGTCTCTACAACTTATTAAATTTTAGGATTACCTGATATGTTTGAAGATTTTACTTTTATTTTTGTCACTTATATATCTATTAAGGAATTAACTGGACTAAAATCTAAGTGATAAAAGTTAAATTGTCTATTAAATATACCTGTTTTTGTACGTTATCTATGTTGTTTTTTTTTGAGAAATTTCTCTTTTCTCATGTACAAAATTGTCTCAAAGTTTTAGAGATGTGCATAAATCTAAACTTTTAGTCCATTTAATTTACAATATTTCGTAGAATTTCTCTGGAATGTTTCAAAAAATTAATATAGTAATATTTTAAGTTATTTTCGTAACAGAAAAGTTGAAAAATTTTTTCAATAAATAGGTTTAATGTAATGTAAGCACAAGCAAAAACAAAATATTTCCAAGTATGAAGATTAAATTTCAAAACTAATACTGAGCACTTAATAACAAACAGAAAGCTTCAAATCATCTTTTGAACATCACCAAATGTACTCAAATTTAAAAAAATTCTGGTTTAAAGATATTTAAAGTAGTTTGTGTTGCTTTAAACATCAGTTTACGGGTTCTTAAACAGAAACTTCTGGTTCACGGCGTAGAACGAGAATAGCCATAATTCTACTTCTAAGGATCGAAGAGATAAAAACCTTAAATTAGAAGCTTTAAAATAAAATAATAATTTGAAAAAAATGTCATCAAAATTGACTATTAACCTTGAAAATATAAATATGTTTTATTCATTTACCATAAACTCTAAATTCTCAGCATCTTAATTTATTATGTTTACTATTCGATATTTTCACATTCTAGTAAATATATTTCAAGTAATGGCCGAAGTACCGAAGGGTAAGATCACTGAACATTGGCAGTTAGACACGGGTTCAGATTTCTACGAACTGGCCAATTTCGTAATTTATAGTTTCCCACTCGCGTAAAGTGAATACAAGCTAATTTCTCTTAGAATGTTCTCTACGAAGGCATCTCTTCCCTTAAGCAAATAAGCCTCGCCATCGTTCCCGTAATGTCAAATAATCTACATTTAAGGTAAGAGCAA